AAAAAAAGGATAGGGGGAGACTCAAGTTGTTGGATGATGCATTGTGGCCCAACGTTGGCAGTGTGCCTTGGACCTATCGCGCGCGCACCCGCGCGCCCTAATATATTAGCGCGTTACGGACGTTCTATTGGCTGAAGGTGGAGATATGGACTTTATTCACGGGGCCGGCCACATTGAATTTGAAAGCGTTGTTAACTCTTCATTTTTGAAAGTGGAGAGCACAAATGAAGCAATAAAATGAAGTTTCATGATGAATTTCCACCCGAGTGTCTACTCTGATGAATAATTTGAAATACACGATTCAAGACATAGAATTGTACATCGCCAGATTCTGAACATTACTGAAAGGGAGGCTTGGAACACAAGGCACGGAACTACAAAACAGTCTGGTGCCATCCGAATCGACACTTTGCAAAATATACAACAGATTTGGGGAATAAGATAAAAAATGGCCTCCACGTGAGTAGGGTCTATTATGCAATCGTGCCAATGCATGTGATGTTTTGAGGGTGAGTTCGGCGCATTTAATGCTCATTTCAAGTTAGTGTTAATTCGAATCGACTAGTGCCGAAAACGGTTTGCACACTCTAACATTCCCATACACATCAGCGGGCATACGTAAAACCAGACAATCCTGGACAAACATGTCGGGACAATTGGCAATAGCCATTGTACGCTCTCCAGCCCCCCTCTTTGATCCACTCCCCCGCTCAATCTTGTCATGTCCAGCAGGAGCGCAGGCCGTGCGCATAGACCCAACGTTGTGTCTACCGTGCCGTTTGGCGTGTGTTGTCTGGCGTTGTTTGTGGAAAACAGAAATGACAGCCGAATGTTAAGTATACACAAACTTTATTTCGGGCAAATTGTACAAGCACAAGCAAGATAGTTATCCATTTTATTTTGTGCGTGTACAGTAACAACTGTTTTGCGGGAGTGCATCGCAGACATTGATCCGCATTATAAAGACTGGATAGGACACCGCGCATTGTTTGTGCGCGAAATGTGCGGCTGAACAGTGGCGGCGCGCTGCGTTTCAGGAAGGTAATGTGATGCTGTATGCTGTTCATTTACCGGTACCTAGTCAAAATGGAGAAAACAAATTTCTTATGGGAGGGTGCCATGCCCTAGGCCTCTCCCTCGAAGACCGGACAAAAATTCAAGAACATCATTTTCCGGAATTAACTGACCACTTTCTTCTTATTAAATAACCCACTCGAAATCTATAACACTGTTTTTGTGTATGTGTGTGTTTGTTTTTGGTCTTTATTCACTTTTCACACGTGTTGCCTACGCGGTCTTGCTTGGGAATTTTCACTCTGGGTTGCTTCAATCGAAATCTATTCATTCAAACACAACTCGTGGCTTTCTTGGACAATTTTCCTGTGAAATCTGTGGAAAATAAAAGACAAATTAATCATCATGTGTTGAAACCACGTTTGCCAACAAGTATATCAGAACTGCGACACACTGACTCGATACACTGTCATACATTTCTTACTATAACCGGCTTTACGTCTAGCATTATAAAGTGCAGGGCATGTTGAAACTTTCTGGA